ATATTACGAGTTTTAAAATCTTAATCGATTTTGTCTAAAATTATATATTATAGTATCGCTTATTTACAAAATTATCAATTATTATTATTAAATTATTTAAATTATTATATTTATCGCTAGTTAAACTCGAAATAACTACTTTATTTAAATGTTTTATATTTAGGTGTGTTTAATTTATATGAAAATACTTTAATATATGTAGTATTTTATTAATTGAATAACATTTCCTTAATCTCCCCTTAAATCATTTAAATCATAACCTCTTTTATTCAATTTATTTAATTCATAGCCCTCTTCCTATCCAATTCTATTTCAACTCCAGCATTTCATATTCAATTTCATGTCAATTATGGCCATTTGCTTATTTCAATTATAGCATTTCAACACTTTTCAATTATAGCCTATCTGTTTCAATTCAATTCTCAAAACCCCATCCTTTAATCGATTAAGATTTTAAAACTCGTAATATTCGTTCATCCAAATCAACTACAAGATCAAATCTTGATCGCCATATCATTCAAACCAAAGGCTGAGATCAAATCTTGATCGTCCATATCATCCGCCTCCGATCCATTCTTTCTCTCTTCTCAAACACGTCTGTAAATAACTCTTGTTGACACCCAATTTTGACCGACCTATAACCCTTTCGGAAGTGCTATTCGATTAAGTACATATTTTTAAAACATATTCCGAGTTTAAAATTTTAATCGATTTTGTCTAAAAATTATATATTTCAGTATGCATGATTTATAAAAATTATTGTAATTACTAATAAAATTATTTTATTATTAAATTGAAACTCGAAATAATTATTTTACTCAAATATTTTAAAATTTAATTGTGTTAAATTTGTATGAAAACATTATAATATGTGTAGTATTTTATTAATTGGATAGCATTTCCTAAATCTTTCTCAAAATAATTTAAATAATAGCCTAATCTATTCAAAATTATTTCAATTCTAGCCTTCGCTAATTAAATTCATTTCAATTGAAGCCTTTATGCATTGCATTTATAGCCATTGCAGTTCAATTCTTGAAATGTCATCTTTAATCTCATCCACCCATCTTATTAAATCATCCCAACTTTTAATCCTAAGTGTTCATCTATTCTAATCCAAAGGTGGAGTTCTAATAACCATTCTTTCCTATTCCAACATTAAGACCCATACCCTTATCAATTTTCATTTTCACTCTTCCTCTGCTCCCTTGAAGATCAGCGCCGCCAGCCCCTCTTCTCTCACGTGGCTCCTCCGACGAGACCATCCATCGCCGGCGATAGTTTCCTCTCTCCACTCCCCGTCGCTCTCTCTCCTCTTTCCCTCCCCTCGTTTCCTCCCTTCTCATTTAGGCGAGAAATAACACCAGCTCCGACTAGCGACAGCAACCGACAACAGCCAGCAGCCGGCGAGGAAGGCGGTGCAGCGAGCAAAGGAGCAAGGCTGATGCTCCTCATTTTCCCCTCTCATTTTCAGCGAAGCAGCAACAGCAGCCGGCGACGACACCAGCTCCAACCAGAAGCTAGGAGAGACACCGCGAGGACCAGCAGCAACAACTGCTCCGGCCAGCAGTCCGGTGGAACAAACAGCAACATCAACAACTCCGGTGAAACAAATAAGGTAGCAAGAACTCCAGTGAAGTTGAAGTTCTAGTCTGCTAAAGACGAATCTTCTCAGATTCACCTTGGTTTGTTTTCTTGTTCGATCTACTATTTAATTTCTCTGTGAATTAGTGAAACTGTGTCCCTTATTTCTTAATCGCCAAAATGTGTTTTTTTAAGCATGAAATCGGTGGTAATTTTCAAATTTTATGAATTGTCTCGTGTTAATAATATTAGTTTGAGTGTATTGTGTTAATAATATTAGTTGGAGTGTTAACAGAACGAGATTTACATATGGCTCGTGTAAACATTATTTCTGTGGTTTGTTCTTGCTATTTACTTGGATAACACAATTTTGAATATTTCTGGTGTGAGAAAGTCAGCATTCTACTTCTTGAATCCTGTTTACTCGACAGGCAAAAGTGGAAATAAGGTGAAAGGTAACCAAAATTTATCAGTACCTTAATATCGAATTTTGATCATACTGTGGCAAAACTTTAAGGCTGTTCATTTTGTGTTCAGAGGGTAGTGTTTGTAGTTGCACAGGTTCAGTGCCAGCGTTGGATAGTATTATACCAGATGACGAAGATGTTCTTGAAGAAGAAAACATTGTTAAACGGCAAGCTATGCAAGGTGAAGTTGATTCTAATGTTGCAGTTCAACTACATGGCCTTGCAAAGATATTTGCTGGAACAACATAGATGGGATGTTGTAAATGCCAAAGGAAATCTCCTTTTCATGCCATCAAGGTATTTTATCCATTGGTCTATGAGAAGCTAGCATTAGCTGTTTTCTCTGTGCAAACAGAAGTCATCAGTAGAGAAAAGAAACTACACTTTACGTGTTAAAATTTGTGTTTTTTTGCTTCTCTTGCAACTTCTTTGGATTTCCCTGGCAATTATTCAAATCAAAATTTGTGTTTAGTTTGGAACGGTTCTTACTTGTTTTATTTTGGTTAAATTGTGTCTGATTAAGCTAAAAGATTTTACTGATTGAATACTCTTTTGATATCCTTCAGCAAGTTTGAACACAAGTTCAAGATATGGAGAGCCTCCATAGGAGGGAAACACTAGACAAGCTAATTTTATTTAATTTGGGTTTTGTATATTATTTAATTTCTATTATTGTCTTGTAATTATTTGTAAACTCTAACTCTCTCTATATAGTGTATGTTGTTAATTTTAATTTGTATAGTGTATGATGCTCATTATTAAAAAAATTACTCCATGCTATTAAGTTTAATATATTTGTATTATTTAATAATTTTAATTTTTTAAATAAATTTTTAATTTTACGGAGACCTAGCTCAATACAAATTGTAAATAGTATTGCTACAAGTTTAAATGTCATTAGTGACGAAATATTTTATCTTCGAAACCTCAATTATTAGTGACGAATACATTATTTTTTAAGACGATAGCATTTTCCCATTAGTGATGAAACATTTTATCTTCGAAACCTCAATTATTAGTGACGAATACATTATTTTTTAAGACGATAGCATTTTCGTCATTAAAGTACGATATTCTGTGACAAAAATAGTTTTTGTCCCAAAAATTGCCTACTTATTTATGATATTTTTTAGTGACAATTTTATTTTGTCGGCAAAAGAATTATTTTTAGTGACGACATGATTGTTTCAACTACAAAATTATTTAAATATAAAGTTGTCACTAATTTTTACCTTTAGAGACAACAAATTTTTTTTATGTAAAAAGTAGTTTTTAGTGATGAAATATTATTTAATGGCTACGAAATACATAAAATATTAGTGACAAATTGCATCATCACTAATTAAACTAAGTAGTTAGTGACACATCATTTTCGTCAACTATAATAACCTATTTAGTGACAAAAATATATCTTTACCTACAAATTTTAATAATTTTTATGACGAACAAATTTGTCATAAATATGAAGCATTTTGGGACACAAAATATTTTCGTAGTTAATACATTTCTATTTAGTGGCGAAACACTAAATTGTCTCTGTATACATTTAGTGACCCGTGCTTTAGGGACGAATGACTGACGAATTATTTTTCGTCACAAAATTATTTTTGTGACGAAATTTAAGTTTCTAGTGACAAAATTATTTGTTGCTAATCATCAAATTTGTTGTAGTGAACAATTCACAACAAATGCTTCACTCTCAAAGCAATTCATATCATAATCATCACATATGCTTCAATCTCAAGCAATACTTATCACATCTTATTTATTCAATAAGAATGCACATAAATCCATAAATTCTCCTTTCATGGAGTTAAAACCCATTTGCATCAATTCAATCTTAGAAACATGGGTTAAGCATGGGTACATGGAATTTCATCTTAAAAAGCATAGAATCCTCTCAATTAATGCATAAACAATCATAATTCAATAGTTTGAATCAACATTCATAAAGACCCATTAGTTAAAAGAAAACCCTAACTCAAATTGGGGAATTTCTACTTTTGAATTGGAGAACTTTGGGGCTCCATGGATGCAAAGATTCCATGGATGAAAAGCTATCATACATTTCTATCAAAGCCCATAAATGATTGGAGAATGGAGACTTGACCTTGATCCCTAGCTTAAACCCTTCTTATTCTTCAAGTTTCTAGAGAGAGAAATATTTTGGAGAGGACGAACCCAATTTCTTTTGGTGAATTTAATAGAATGACTTGAATGGGTTGAATTTGGGGTTAAAATCACTTATATAGGGGTCCTTGGCATGGGTAAAATGATATAGTATTGTTTTAAAAAAATTTGGAAAAGACCCAATGGCCCTCAAACTTACTACTGACGCAACCCCCACACGACCAGCTTCACGAGCCGTCCAAGGGTTCACGAGCCGTCTAGGCTGCCATGGCCCTTGGACCAGTGGCCTACAAAATATTCCCCAAAAACTCCCACACCCCACGAACCCTTCCACGAGTCCTCAAGTGGCTTGTTGATTAACGTTCAAGGACACTTCATCAAATTCTAAGTGTCAACGATCGCTACTCAGTATAAAATTTAACTAAATGAGTTGGGGTCAAATCCCACGGGAAGCGGTACGTGTTTAAGATTCAATAGGAAAATACGAATATGCTCAAATCAGTCATAGGAATAAAAATGCACGAATAAAAACATCATTCAAATCAAGGGGTGACATGAATGTCAAATAAGGGGGTTTTGTTTTAATTATCAACTACAACAGCAGAAAACATATAGAAATAACAATAATGAAGACGGGTTCTTGGGATGTGATTCGATTATAGGCTAATGTAGAAAAATGGGTAATTGCAACTATTAAGAAATAGCTAAATATTAGTGAGTAAGCTAGACTATAGAGGAGGTAAATTTTCTCTCGAACAATTTACCCAAATCAAGTCGATTTCTCTCGAACATCGGCAAGCATGCCAAATAAGACCTACGCTTTAGTCCATTCACTCTTTCGAGCTGAATGTGTGGAAAAGGGTTTAGGATTCACTCTCTCGAGATGAACCCATGACAACTCAATACCCACAAACCATCAACCAATAATCTTAGTTTTAAAATCTCTCTCTCGAGCAAGCCAAAAACAAAAGGGTAGAACTGCATTTGCAACTACAATTCTTAAATTAAACCACAATTATTGATTGAACTCACTTCTAAAAAGCATTTAAACTAACAATTAGCAATACCCATAAGCTAAATCAACCCATAATCATATAATCACCCCAATAATTGGGGTTTTAGCTAAACATCATAAAAAGATTAAAAAATCGTTACCAAATTGAGTTTCCATCAACTGGGTAAGATTGATTTTGTCTTTACACAGGTCCAAATCAAAGAATCTCAAAGACCCACTTCCAATTTCTCAAAAGTGAAAAAACTTCAATTCTTCAAAGCTAAAGGAAACTAGAGAAAACTTGTCTCAATACCCAAACTTCAATCCCCAAAAACTTAGAACTGAAAATTCAATAATAAGCTGATACTAAACTAAATGTTCAAAAATGTATTCATAATCGTCAAAAATGTCACGACCCAGGGGTACCCCTTAGTCGTAACGTGGCGTACTTGACCCCGAAGGGGTCGCATACAACCCTTAGCATCATCATAACATAAGATCATAGAAAAGTAGGGAGAATTTAAAACTTTCTTTAAACATACAATCAAAAAGCATTTCATAAAAGCGGAAGTCTTTCTAACATCTTTTTCTCAAACTATCTATGAATAACATGAATAAAAGTCATTGGGACGCAGCCCCCATAAAGTCTAAAACATAAGAAAATACATAAAGGAACATAAATGGGTTCGTCCTCGAAGCTATGAGCACTCACCAAATCTTCAAGTCTTCTTGCACTTAGGAACCTAGCCTCCAAGCAACTCAATCTCCCAACAACCTACATTTGATTAGAATGTAGGCAATACGGATTAGTACATAATGTACCAAAAATGAAAGATAGCACAACATCATAAAGCATCTCAAATCGTTAGTCAACATAAGACATGAGCATAAGAGACAATAATATAATCATAATACAATCCTAAGATAAGTATCATATCTGTAACAACCCGTATTCGAAACAGACCAAAAATGCAGATTTTGAGAAGTTCCAGGTGCAACCCACAGTTGCCATCCATGGACCATAGGTCAGACCACGGCCCGTTCTGGTGGTCCATGGTTCACCACTGAAACCCCTCCAAGACCCAGCTGAGAAAATTGGCTATGTCCCGACTCACGGACAGACCCACGGTCCGTAGATCAGACCACGGTCTGTGGTCTGTGTCCGTGGATTGAGACCTCCTTTACCCAGCCTCTGACACAAACTATGGTCGACCAGCACGGACTGTCATTTGATCCACGGTCCGTAGGTCAGACCGTAGATGAGGGTCAGCAGCCAGTTAGCTGAATATTGTTGATGGATCAAATTCAGATGGTCATAAATTTTAGCACAAAAATAATTGTGTCCCATATGATAGATAATCTAATTCTCTTTCCAACGCCGCCGAGTTTGCTAAAATCCGACCTCCGAGTGAAAAGTTATGCTCGTTTTAGTGAAGCCCTATTAGGCAAACTCGATTGACGACTCCAATCGACGGACCGTCGATTGAACTACGGCCCGTCAGTCCAATCCGTTGATCACTTCGACATCAGTTAATTCAGGGGTCTTTTGGTTTTTTCCTATTTCGTTTAATCCCTAAGATACGTCGTTTAGACCCTAAATCATGAGGTTTTAATCAGTTTAAACTTAGAAACATAATTAGAACTTACCTTAGTCAAAATCATTAATCAAAACTTAGAAAATTAGGAGAAGAAGAGAGGTCAAGAACCCTAGTTCAAGAACACAGCAAGGTTCCATCAGTTCCAGCCCCGAAATCGAAAGATTTCTCCGTGGAATTCGTCACCAGGTATGTGGGATTTCACTAGTGGGTTCCTTTCGCCCATCAGATCCGTAAAATTCAGTCAGATTCTTGATTCCCCCCTTATTATGAACAAACCTAGGGTTTCTAGAATTACAACAGATCATCATGAATTAGTTATTTAAAT